GATGATCTTCATGGATGTCATCAGGTGCGATGCTGGGATCGTATCCGTCGTCCTCAAACTCGGCATACTCGTCAGCATAGCATGACATTTCCTCAGCATCACCTGCATCACTTCCAACAGCCACTTCATGTTGATCATCTCTTACCTTAGCTTTCTTACGTTTCTTCATTGATCTCTTGGGTGATTTAACATTGGATCGTCCAACGGAGTCGGAAAGATCTTCAAGTTCATCCCCACTTTCTCCATCTATGACCAAAAGACCTTCACCTTCCGATGTTGAGCATCCATCATCAAGAATTGCCATGATCTTCTCCACACAAGATGATTTCAACTTGATCTTTTCTTGATCGACGCTCACATAGGGAATATAGTCTCTAACAGTCATCTCGATGAAGTTGCCATTTGGATCCAACATGAATGGAGTTCTTCCGGCCGGCCATACAAAAGAGTAACCAAGATCAACGCATCGCTTTCCCATGGAGAGCACGGAGGGTGTGTCCTCCAAGATGTGAGCTTCTGCTGGTTCGCTAAATGCCTCGAACTTGATGCTTGAACGTTTGGTCGAACACGTTACCCCATTTGCTGTATGGAAGTTGACGACCTTGTCATCGTATGTTGGGAGATCCATTCTACTTATCCGTGTGGATGAAATGAGATCATGGCCACTTCCAGAATCCAATATGAACCTCTTATCTCTCTCTTCAACAGGAACAGTGATACACATTGTGTTGCCCCTTTTACCATATCGACCTTCAATATGCTGAACATAGTTTTCCACAAATACTTCCCTGGACACCTCACCGTCCTCGACGTCGAGTCTGATCAGGATGTCCATGCTAGGGCCGACTATGACCAGGACTTCATCAATGTCACTGTGTTCACCCTTCTCATCGATCAGAATAGCCATTGCTTTCCCTCGGCTCGAAGCTAACCTGCATGAATAAGACCATTGCTCATCTTTCCTTATCTGATCAGTGGGCTTGCCAACTTTACCATGACCTTTGGGGATGGTTTGGGATTTCCGGCTGCACTTCACGAAGTCCTTCTTCACGTAAGTTTGAACTTGAGTTTTAGACTCATCAAATCTGATCTTCTTCTTGATCACGTTCGATGCAACCTTATGGAACGTCCCTTCATCATCACTCCAATCATGGATAAGTGCAGGAGTAGCCTTTGAGCTTGGTGCTTCAGTGTTTGGAGCAGTGTTGAATAGATGAGGATCGTGGCGTTTGTTGCATTTGTCTCCATACCGACACTTGCCCTTAGCCCAATGCCAGCATGGTTCATCAATCTTCTTGGTCTTGTTTGCCGGAGACTGACTTCTTGGAGTTCCTGGCTTCCGACCGTTGCCTTTTGCATTCTTGTTCGCATCAAATACCTTTTGGTCGTGACTGTATTCACAATCCTTGCCTTTTCTGCATGCTTTCTTGATGAAATGGAAATGGCATGGGATCTTCTTCTTGGATCTGGGGCTGGTACTTCGGCTGTTTGCTCGATCCTTCCCTTTCCCTTGACCTTTTCCTTTTCCTTTTGCATGCTGTTTAGGCTGAGGTGATGGTAGAACTGGAGCTGCATCGGCCTTGGCCTTCGCCTTGGGCGCTGCCTTCTCCTTGGGAGTAGCTTTAGGCTTCGCTTTTGGATTTGCATCCGGTGCAGCAGCAGTTGGGTTCGGAGCAGGAGCTGAAGGTTTGCCGCCGCCTGCAAAGTCTCTCGCATACTTCTCTCTGGCTGCCACATGCTTGTCCTCTCTGATTCTGGAGATGTGCCTTTCGATGACATCCAACAGGTAGCGATAATTTCGTCTTTGGTCTCCTTCCATCCATGACTCGTACTGCTTGATGTCAAACATCATAAGACTCGAATTTCGAATCTTCTTGTATAGAGCGTCACGAAGCCAATCATCAGGAGGTACGTCATCCGGCATCATGTTTGATACCATCTCCATCCATTTCTCGTAGAACACTTCTAGGTTCGAGTCACCGAGATACTTCATCGATACGATGTGCTCCATGGTGAAGGATGTTTCTCGTTGACCTGGGGTTCTGAAGTGCTCCAGAATCAAAGCCAAGATTTCCCGCCCCATGACATAGGTTCCTCTTCGGCTATGACTTTGTGTTCTCAATCTCAATTTGATCGCTACATGACGAGCAACATCACCGGCTTGGGCTATCACGTTTGACAATGCAATTGACAACTTGGCGTCGATGGACTGATACCGTTGCCCCCCACTGTCATTCAACAGCTCGATGTCAGGATTTGGTCGAATAGCCGGCTGTAGCCATGCCTCCCATGCGGCTTTATCCCCGTCATTTGCCGAAAGAACAACACTCTTGATGAGATCTGATTGCCAAACCCCAAGATTCTGTTGCTTTGGCCATGGGCTAACATAGACTTTGTCAGCCTCTCGTCTTGACATTCTTGGTACTTCTTCCGCAGTGTAAGCCGCTGTGGAGACATCATCTGCTGAATCGCGTTGTGATCCTCGAACCGATGGCAAACCAGGAGGTTCAGGGGGTGGTCCTGGACCGTTAGGCCCAAAAGGGTCCGGAGGTCCATCAGGGTCAGGCGGACCGCCCCATCCACTCGGTGGCCTGTAGTATTCCCTCTCAGTTCCGCCAGCGATCTTGTTGTCAACCTCTTTCAGTAGATCAGCGATTCTTTTGCTTGATTGAGAGTGCTGTGGTTGTTGAGGAGGTACAGCATGCCCACGATAGGAATGAGCCACATTTGTCTCATAAGTCAACTCCTTGTCGATCTGCGAAACCCAAGATTTCAGAATAGCGTTTTCACAGTTAGCCTCACTCACGTCATTCTCCAGTTTGTCGATGACCAGTCTGGATGCGAGATCGGAGTTGGGAATGCCTGCCGAATAGGGAAGTGTGTCAGGACTGATCCTAGCCATAGATGTTTCAGAATCCTTGAGACTCTTTCTCAGTTCATCTAAGTGACGTTTCATGTCAACAATCTCAGAATTCTTGATGCCAATCTTTTCATCCCTATCCTGGATTTCCCCCATGAACATGCATGATCTCTCATATTGTTGAACACCACTCGCCAATTTTAATTTTCGCTCACTCTCTAGTTCAGATCTTAGAGTTCGGACCTCAGCATTGGTGAGGGACGACGCCCCTACATCCGCAACTTCAGCCAACCTTTCTTTTAACAACAAGTTCTCTTGTAAGCATTCATGAACTTCATGATCTAGATCCTGAACCCTGATTTGAGCGATCTTAGCTTGATTACGTAGATCTTCAACAAGCATCTCTTCGGGGCCACGACCGTCGGTCGTAGAACCCTGAGTCAACGATCTTCGTAACTTCGTGTTCTGCAACTTGATCTCATCCTTCAATTCGCAGTTCATCTTCTGCTCGTTGGCATAGAGCTCTTCATAGTGCTCTGCCCTTGCGATCGAGTTTGCACTAGCCTGTGATTCAAGCCTCAGGTGAGATATTGCTTCGGCCTCTTGGTTCCTGTATGATGCAATTCTTTTGACGGTATCATGTTCAGTGTTTCGATGCTTCAGATCACTTTCCAATTTGGCCTGATTTGCCTCGAACACCTTCTTCCTAGACTCTCTAGTGATCTCATCAATACTGCTCTCATACAGCTCGGCCTGTTTACGAGACTGAACCAAGGCTTCACTCAATAGCTGATTTCGCTCAGATAATTCATGAACTGCAATTGATTGTTGCTGGCTAATCACTTCAAGTTGATTACTAGAGGAGGATGCCATTTCAGATCGATTACGATATTCCATGATTGAGTTCTGGAAATCATTTTGCATTTCTTGACCTTCATTGTATAGTCGATTGGCAATATCGGTGGTTAAGACATTGGTTTGATGAAGTTGTTGTAGTCTTGCCTCCGTATTACCCAGTAGTCCTTGAAGGTGATGTACTTCATCCTTGTACTCCTCCTGGATCTCCATACCACGTTGATGGATCCGTCGTGCACCATGTTCCATTAGGGCACCTCGGCGTTCAAGGTCTTGGATGCGTATTGTTGCACCTTCATCTTCCTGAGATGCTACCATTAGTTCTGCTTGATATTCTGCAACCTCATTTGCGGAACATGACAATCTATGATTGAGTGCATTGACCTCATCAAATACATTCTGATTGTGTTCCCGAAGATACTCAGTGAACCTGATCTCGATGTCATGAATCAGTTGATCCCTGGATGCAGCGTATGCTTCCATGTTGTTCAGCTGATTACGTAGGGATTGACATTGTGCCCGTAGTTCTTCTATCATGGCAATAGGTTCACTAGCCACAGAAGTATCCGTTGATCTCCTCTTAACACGACTATCCCCGGTCCTCTCACCAATTCGGTCGGTACGGCCCTGGTGGATCTGTCCCTTGGAGTAGTACGTCCTCGAGATGGTCGATGCCCTTGGCGGACAACATCACTCCGAGCACTGTTTCGAGAAGATCTAGGTGTACTTTGGGTGGATATTCTTCGTCTGTTTGATGTGACTTGCCATCCGGACTGTGTAGTTCGGGTAGAGCGTATCCCGCCACTGTCTGCCGTGTCGCCAGGGGAAGATTGATTGACCTCCTCGACCGGCATAGCAGCGTTCTCATTGAAGGTAAACTGCGTGGTGCGCGAATCTCCGCTGCCGCCTTGCATCTTTGCGATGGTGAGCTGATTGGTCCTTTGCGTCCTCAATCAATTGCTCAGAAGGCCCGGCTACCAGCACGCAGGTACCACTCTCCCGGCGGGAGAAGTGAGCCCTACGGCTGATAACCTGTGAACAAATGAATCCTTGTTCTGGATGTAGTTATCAATTGCGGTACCTGTTATGCTAGTATTGCCGGACACTGATGAGGCATGGCAAGCGCAGCTCGGACCCTTTTCCTCGCACACGGACTTGAGCCAGTACGGCGTCCAGATGTACAATTAAGCATGTACATCACAAGTGTCCTAGTGTTCAGTTCCCTTTGACAGAAGGTTTCCGGGCCCAGCTTCAATGACCATTTCTTTCCAAAGCGCTTGATTTTTTTTACTGGCACCTCATTCAAATCTTCAGCCAGCTGCAAATCGGCGGAAGCCATAAGGCGTAAGTGAAATGCCCAAACAATCATTTAAAAAAAAGCAAAACAATCCTGTTTCCTCTGGACGTGTGCCAGATTCATCTTGGAAGCGCCTGTTCCTCAGCGAGTCACAAAACAATAGATGGGAAGCTGGGAACGATTTCTGTGAGTCGTTTCTTGGTCTCGAGCGTTGGAAAAGGTGCTGACTCCCTTGTACTACGGAAAATTCGAGTGTTTGTCACACTCAATCTGTCTGGAACTGCTGTCTCAAATGGCAGCTTGATATCATTGGCACCTCAGAGCCTCTCAGTAATAGGTCCCCACCTTTCGATGATGGACTGCAGCCGTTGCGCTGGACCTTGCCACGTCGCCACCGAGCACCTCAGCGTAGCCTACCCAGTGGTCAGCAGCATCCATACGCGACACGATCTTGCACTCAAGATAGGCACAAGCAGACCTGACCGATCCAGTTGCTTCAATATTAGTACCCTCTGGTAATTTAACATAGCTATCACCATTTTTAATGGGAAAATCCACTATAAATGGTCATTTTCCATAGCTATGTTAAATTACCAGAGGGTACATGCTGACAGTACGTGTCCAGAATATATACGTACGTGTGATTCAGTGTGATGCTGCAAGAGATGTACATACTACAGTAGCGCATGTACAACGGTCATTGGCTTACGTTGAGTGGGGCCTGTTGCGTTCTATGAATAGATCATCCTGGATGGGAAAAAAATTGGAAAACATCTCCCTGCCTCAAAACAGCGGCGCCATTAGATCCTTCAATGTGGTCGACTCCTTCCAATCGATCGACTCCCGGGGCAAAGCGCTGTAAGAAGTGCTTCATCACAGCCAAGGTCTGTGGCTTCCCTTCCTGGAAAACTCGTTCGCACATGAAAACGCTTGCCTTTTTCGGACAATTTTCGAACAAGATTCAAGTCTTTCTTCAAATCTTTCTTTGCTTTACCATTTTCACGAAAACCTACAGTACGTTCTTCTTGGTGGACAAGTGTTGCTTTGTCCGGGTCCCACAGACGCACAAACGTATCGTGACTGCTTTTCACTGCTTTGGCTTACACAAAAATAATGTGGTTCTCTTTCCCATTTACCGAACCAGAACTTGATAGAACTTGTCTCTCCGGCTGACTTCGGCTCCTCCAAGAGGTTCAAGGTGAAGCTGTCACCGATGCGGAGCAAAGGTTCCTGAGCAACCAAAGTGTGCCAGCATGCGCCCCTAGGACAAAATACAGGACCTTCAAAGAGCTCCAAAAAATCCCCAGAGGGGCTGTAACTCTTGCATATATAATGAACTAGTTATATATTGTTTCATATGATACTGTAATACATGACTCATCTTATTATATACATATGTGAATTCAAATACATTAAATACATGTTGTTGCAAAGACATTTACAGTCATACATATATACATATATATATACACAGTATATACATGAAACACACCCTCTCAGAGTGCCAACCTTTCAGGAAAACAGAATTGAAAAAAACACATCTGCGCCAAGTTACCATAGCCCGTTCTTTGGCAATGGTCAGCGATACCCCTAACGGCTTGCTGGATGCAGGTGTTACCCAACTGGCCACCATCGCATGACGTACCCCAGCTTTCTTGGCCGTGACAATGTAGAGGCTGCTAGCCACGCGGCCCAAGGCCTTGGAAAGATCTTTGTCCTGAACAGAATCATTTCATACTTAGATGCCGACTCATCCTCAACAAAAATATCAAGGAAAATTGGTAGGAATAGCCAACGATGGCCAGGAACCTATCATAGACATTCATAAACTATCTGTCCCCAAGATCCTTTCTTAAACCCCTGAAAAAGTCATGTTCTCGATATACACTCATGTACACATGGTGCAATACATGGTGCAGTCCTGACTCTTCGCTGCCTTTGCCTTGTTTTTCTGCGTGATCTTTTTGCCAATCTGCATGCCAGCCTCCTCAAAGCTATGAAACACCTGTGCAGTGATGGGTCGATTCTTCACTTCCATGGCAGGCAAGACCTCTGGAATATTGGCTTCTAACATACGACTGCGGAGTAAAGCCACTGGCTCTTGAGAATCCTCACAGCTATCCAAAACCATGAACTGATGCTTCTTGGGCTTCAGATTCGCCAGGATACTTCCAATGTTGATGGCTGCCTGCGATTCTGCTGGCGGTGCTGTGAAGGCAATGATCTCATTGCGGCCCACGCACTCAGTGATTTCCAAAGCATCCACGGCATTCAGGTCGTGCATCTCGACGTTCACACTGCAGCTAGTCAGGCCATGTGCAAACAGCTGCGCGAGGCGTTCGCTCTCGCCGAAGCGGCTTACCCAAAACACCGCCACAGAAGGGCCGATTTTGGCCGTGGCCTTTTCACTCCACGACTTGTAGTACTCAAGGAAGCTCTCCAAATTCTCTGAAAGCATCGGTCCATGACCCGTTGCCACCATCTGAGCAGGGTTTCACAAAGCTTATACTGCATTCCACGTGTCTTCCTAACTTACAATCTAAAAACTTCTTTATTCAATCCTATTCAATCCAGCACCTTCAAGTCGAAGTGTCCAATTTTCCCCAATGCTGTCAGCACAGACCGTGCGTTGGGCTTCATGAGACAGTCGTAGTAAGTTGCATAATGCGGAAGCAACTCCTTGACACCTTCGACATCCTCCGGATGGTCCGAGCAGTAGTGCATGCCAAAGGCATCGCAGGTGAAGAGGGTTCCTGTTTTGTGGTCAAAGGTAAACATCGTGTCAGGCCAGTGCAGGTTCGGAGCAATCACAAACTCCAAGTTGTGACCACCACCCAGATCCAACTGCACACCATTCTGCACAATTCTGCTCTTGAAGGGCACAAAGACCAGGTTCTCCAAGTAGGCAATACACATCTTGGAGCCGATGACCTCAAGTTTGTCATTACCTGCTTCAGCTGCCATCTCCAACACCTTTCCAATCAGCCCAGAATGATCCGGCTCGGTGTGTGAGACGATCAAATAATCCAAGGTGGATAGGTCTAGCTCCTTCTGAAGCGCCGCTAGGTAAAGATCTTGGAATTTTTCATGTGAGGTGTCCACCAGGGCCGTCTTCTCACCTTTGATGATGTAGGAGTTATAGGTAGTACCCCTCTCCAAGCGAAATTCGATGTCAAAGCGATCACGGTCCCAATCCAAAGATCGAATGGTGCTGGTATCCTCTGCCACTTTGTGAATTGACATGGTTTGAAGACGATACTCTTTGCCCGGCGTCAGACCTGTCCAGCTTTGAATCTCAGACATCTCCGGCTCCTCACCGCCACGGGCAGCCAAGCAAGTACGGGAGGTTGCACTGCTTGAGCTCAAGCTGGATCGTGAAGCCCCGGCAAAGTTGCCTGAGATCCTGGACGTTGCAGTGGTAGCGCTTGCATTGGGCACGGCAGCAATGGCAGGAACTTTGGCTGCTTGAGCTGCTTGGGCCTCTTTTTTCAAGTCCCACCCGATGATTTTGGATGACTCGATGACTGACCGGATGTCAGTCTTCACCTTCTCATCCAAGACCTTGCCGGATTTCACTTGCGCATAAATCAATGAATGATCTCCAGCATCCAAGGAAGAAAGTGTGTGGCACTCCAAGAATGCATGACAGCCTTCCAAGACCATGCATCCATTTGTTGGCTTGGCTTTCTTATGAGCTCCTCCCTTCGCCAACTCCAAGTTGGTTTGCCCTTCTGGAGCCAGACTCAAGATGAAGTCCTGCAAGACTGGACCATCCTCACTGGTTGGGGCATCCAAATTTTCAATCAGCGCCCGCAGGGGTTCGCCGGGCAAGACAGCGAGGCGAAATTCATCAAAGGTGACCATGCCCTCCTCATAGGGATCAAGTAGATCACAGGCCTCCCATGTTAAGACGGGTTCACGCATGCTTTTCCCTGAGTCATTGAGCCGGGGGTTACTGGCAGGACATCAAGCAAACCTACAGCAAGGCCAGCTCAAGTACACCCAACCCTTCTCTCGTCTTTTTAATGTTAATTTTGGGTTCTGCTTTCTGGTTTTGCAAAGACTTTGGGCCAAAGGGATACAGCAGATACAGCGCCTTGTCCAAGCGGTCATCATCGGCTCCCATGAGCTCCTTCAAGATGTCCCTCATCTCGTCGCCTTCGAGATATCGGGTTCTCACACTGGGATGGTTCTTCAAGATGTCATCCAGCCGAAACTCCACATCCTGTGGGACCTCCTGAATCTCCTTCTCTGGCTTCTGTGGCTTGGGAATCGCAAGTGTCAGGCCTAGCGGCTCAAAGGAAGCCTGGTTCACCCATGATACTGGAGTAATCACATCTTCACCATCCACTTTGGAGGTCATCACAGCTTGAGAAGTTCGCATCTTTCCAAAGGCCTCCAAGGCTCCACTTCCTGGCTTCACCACTTTTTGGGCGATGTTCCTGGCCATTTTCTTCCGCTTTTGCAGCACATCTCGACACAATTTCTGGAAGAGTCGCACCCCCGAAGCCCTGCAAAGTCTCAAGATCTCATCTGTGGGGCGAAACTTGGCACGGATGGGGTCGAAGGCCAAGGGAAAGCCCGAATCCTTCAGCCGAAACTGCAACTCGTCCACCGCTTCACCGCTCCAACCGAAGGAGCCAAAGACCCCACAAGGCACACGCCGATCTGCTGGAAGATTCAGAATCACACCCAATGCCTCCTTCACTTGTGATGGCATCTCTCCACCCAAGGTTGGACTTCCAATACAGAAGCCATCAACGGTTTGTAAGGCCTTTGAAACATCTTCAGCTGTACAATGCTCAAGATTCATCTCTTCAACAGTCACACCAGACCGAGTCAGGCCCTTCGATATATCTTGAGCTAGGGTCTTTGTGTGGCCATAGGCCGAAGCATACATCACCAGCACTTTGAAGTTGCGCCGGGTCTCCTTCCGAAGCTTCTGCTCTGTCCAGGCTTCATACTTTGCCATGAGTTTCCAGCACTGTTCCCGCACCACAGGGCCATGCAACGGCGCCAACTGGGACACATCTGGGCCCCGCAAGGCTTCACACAGCGTGAAGATCTTTCGAATAGATTCAGAAGCTGATTTTGTGAAGAAATAGACGTCAAAGAGGTGATACCAGTCCTGGAGGGGACCGAAACTGTTCGTCTTCCATGTTACCTAAAGATCTTAAACATCCACTAGCATAATGTTCGATAACGATAACTGTAAACATTGATTCTTTTTCCAGGTTCTTGAATGCCCTGTTCCTCCACATAAGCTTCCCATCCTTCAATACCTGCACTATCCACCGCGCTATCGTTTTCGCCAATGGCTCTGTGAGCGCTAAAGAATTTCCCACTGAACAGACTGCCAGTCAAAGGATCGAAAGCCGACAAGGCTTCAGGCAACTTGCTGGTCGGGGTTAGGACAAAGCGCATTTCTCGTCCTTCCTCAATCGTCAGCCTAGCGGCGCAAACCGCACAAAGCCTATCCACAAACGCATTAAGAAGGAAGGACCCTAAATAGTGTGAGAAATCTCACGTGATCTGCTCAGGTACTAGCATATATTGATACTGTTCTTACTTGTCTTGGGCATGGAGAGGAGTGAAACAAACAAAGAATCATGGCATCATGACATGGCATGTCTTCAATCCCTCAGTCGGCTCCAGTCGGGCTTCAGTCCCACCTGGAGCTGTTCTTGACGGGGACAAGGCTCACTTTTGCAAGCACTTCCTCGGACAGGTTCTTTTTCAGGGCCAACACTGCAGGAGTCGAAGTGTAAATGAGAAGGGGATCGCCAGACCTCTTCTGGACCAAGTCTTCGATGAAAGACACCTGCCAGAGAGGCTGCCAGATTGAAACCAAACTCAGAGCATCTCAGAGCAACACATGGATATGATTGGATATGCATAAATAATATGCTACATCAAATACCAAATCAAAATGCTGCTTGACTTTGAGGTTTTAGCGGTTTTTGTATTGCCTGCCTGCCCACCGTCGAAGAACTGGAGCATCATCGTCCCAATCTTGTCAGCCAAACCACTCTCTTTTTCCAGCATCTGAGACAGAAGTCCCTTGCTGTCCTGGCTGAATGCACCAATCAACAGCCAAGGTCTGTCTGATGCTTTGATGAGGTACAAGTTTTCAGTACTGCCAACTTCCAACTCGTACTCTTCACCATAGCGAGAGCTGCCTTTGGCATGGACACTTCTGAATTGGACAATGCCACCGGCCAATTCTGAAACGACCAGCTCCACTTCTCCTGCTTCAATGGAGCCATCAGCCCAATCGCCAATTACCCGAGTGGTTTCTGCAGAGTACCTGCACTGTGTCTTCGCAGACCGAGACCGAGGTGCTCGAGATGCTCGAGGTGCAACACAGGCCACTCCCAAGACTCCCAAGCCCAGGCCGATGGGCACCCGGGACGAGAGGTCTCCGGCCAGCTTTGGAGATCTTTGCGAGACACCCAAGACGTGTGGCGTGTGCTGATGTGGCGCTGTTCCCACGCGTAACTCCATGGCTCTATGATGAGTTGGATTCTTTGTCCAAAGTGGTCCTGTCAAGTATTGTTGTTGACTCATGTTGACTGTTCAGCCGGTCTCTCCAGTGCACAGGATGGCATGATGTTTATCATATCTCTTTGGTGATAAAACAACTTGTTCCAAATGCAGCAGGGCACAACATTCAGGCTCTCGCCACAAGCAGCACAGAATACCATCTACCTGCACTGAGCACGAGTGTCTTTGAGGATGTGAATATGTCTCTGTCATATTTATGGAGAGAGAGAGAGAGAGGGAAACAAGGGACAGGGAGAAAGGGAATGCAGCAACTGCGTACATTTTTCTATTCTTGTTGCCAATCCTCTGCAAGATAGTGTGCATCATTGCCAAAAGACATCTAGTGATCAGAACGAGCATGGCACTCAGGACATGCTGATGTCCTCCAAGTGTCCTGTGTGTTAACTTAGATGCTGCTTCGCATGCGCCTGTACAAGTGCACACATGCAAACAATACAAGAGAATCATCAAAACTGACGAGCCAGTACTTCTGGGAGGATCACTGCCCTGTACAACGTTTGCGAGCAGTTTATTCTCTGAAAAAAAACAAATGAGTGTATGAGTGAAGAACTGTCATCCTCCAGAGTATGTCTCAGCTAAAGTCTGGCAACCCCTGCTTGTCAAGAGCAGGCTGGCGCAGTGGCACAGGAATGTCCTCAGTTCCCACTGGCTGCTGGTTGGCATCACGGTTCTGATTGGAGTTGATAGAGTTGACCATATCCATTTTAATCCATGGAAAAATCCACTTAAATCCCAGACATGTCCGACATGTATCCTATTTATATACATATATATACATATATATATATATATACATCTATTTAAAGTCTATCTCCAAAAGCTCTATCACCAAGGCACAGTGACACGGTCGCACACCATGTGGGCCCCGGCATCCATCAGCTCTTGGTAGCTGTCAGCACCACTGAGGACACCCACCACCAAGCCGCAGCCAGCGTTGCGTCCCTCCTGGATGTCGCGCACGCTGTCGCCCACTTTGCAAACGCGTTTCACGTTCATGACCTCAAACGAAGCAACAGGGGACTAAGTCTCCCAAATTTATCATACATGTGTATGTATATTATATTATATTATATTATATTATATTGTATATTATATTGTATATTATATTGTATATTATATTGTATATTATATTGTATATTATATTGTATATTATATTGTATATTATATTATATTATATTATATGATATTATATGATATTATATGATATTATATTATATTATATTATATTATATATACTATGTAAATATGCATGTGTAGATATCTAACTATACATATGTATATATATATAGTTAGTATACAGTACAGTATATAGCTGAGAAATACTGAGAACAAAATCAGCATGACATCGTTCAAACTAGGTAACTAGGACAAACATGGTTTTCATCAGTGTGATGCAAGGAGAAAAGGTGTGTTCACCTTCACCAGCCCGGCACCTTGGTTTGCTCCATCAAATGATGGATCATGTAAGGATAGGGTCGACCTTCAGACACCTGCCACGATTCCGGGATGCGGAGCATTCAGCAGCTGTCGTGAAATTCATCTGTTGCAAAACCCAAAGGCCTGGTAGGAGGAAATGTATGCATCGGCAATCTTGTCAAACCCAAGCCGCTTGATGAGGCCTTGCCTGGAGCAGCTATATATATATATAACAATTGGTGTCATTGCCGAGTCATTACCTGAAACCTAAGCACTCAGGAACACGAAGACCTTCTTCTTCCATTCATGGTGGATTGGGTTTAAGTGAGGTATCTCAGGCGGCCTGCGACTTTGCTAATCAAGGGCCCTATCAAAATTGATCAAAATGCAGGCCAAACCAGTCCCGGGCTTCACTTTGTCTACCCATTTGTAAGCCAAGTCTCTGAATGTTTTGTGGATAGCCAGTATCCTGGGTCCAGCCGAGAGAAGTGGCAGGTTCCCAAGCCAGTTTGGGCCATTGAGAGCGGCACTTTTGATGCAAGGCTTGTCAGCATTTTGAGTTTCAAACGAAGGCAATTTTGATGCCAGCATCCTTCAACTGCCTGCGCACAAGGACCGCATTCGGCCTTTGTGGTCAATAAAGAACCGACAAACCCATATCCGAGCCATATCCAATGAAATGAGGTGTCTTTGCAGTTTGGCCATGTTATCTGTCGGGTGAAGCCTTGCCTGAAATAGCCCAACAAGCCAATGTCAATGTGGTCAATCGCCTGGGCGAAATCACACCTATCAGACACCTATGAAATCGCACAGCCCCACAGGCTAAGGCGGCTAAGGAGGCAGCTGCAGCTTCGTTAAAGTAGGCATCATCAATAGCATTTACAAACCTCGGATTGATGATCTTTCATTATCTGTCATGATCTTTCATGATCTTTCATATCCAGGATTGTTATCATCTCACAACATATCACAACCAAAAAGTCAAGCGGAATCCATAAATCTCAGTATTGCAAGAAACCACTCACCGATTCGCGTCACACGCTCGGTCACTTGCTCCGGAGGCGTCCCAGCCTTTTCTTGGGCAGCGCCGATCCAATGGATAAGCAGTTCACTATGATCGATTGAATAGATATAGATATAGATATAGATATAGATATAGATATGATATATATTGTGTTAATAGATCTAGTTTACATTAGTTTACATAGATATCTTCGATGTATGATGTAATATGATATACTACTATATACTACTGTAAAATATGTTACTTACAAATATGATGACTACCAGAGATTGAGGCTGGAAAGATGGAAACCCCTTCAGTTTCTCGTTCTGCCGTGGCCTTGCCTTCAGCGCAAAGTGCTCAATCACAGCTTCCTTTTTAGCCTGATTTGATCTTCCCATTCAGGATCGAAACGGAAAACGTCCAACATCACCATGTCAAAACATGCTGAACATAAATCTCCTGGTAAAATCCAGTCTGCCAAGCAGCTCCATGCCATGCATGCCTCAATTTGCTTGGGAAAAGTACGGGAATGTGAGGATTTTGTTTGACCTGAAAACAATTCAGACCCATTCATGCAGGTTTGAAGTTCGGTCAATACATGTCCACACGGTCCACACATTTGCCATTTGACAATGCTAAGCATGTTGGAAGGAGCGGTTCCACTGCTAAAAGTCTTTGCCAGGTCACATTTCTTCGTCTGGCACTGAGAGGCCATCCTCACCTTGGTTCAAAAGAAAGAAAAAACGATGCACGAGTCATGTGTCAAAATGTGACAACCAGCAGAGAGGTATGGCTATACCCACTGTCATGGTATGGACAATGGTTGAGTACCATTCTGTTGCAAAGACTAAAGTTGTAACTTGCCACTGGGCTCTCTGACGCATCGCTGACTGAAGGGTCTTGTAGACGATGCCGCCCTCCTAGCGTTGATTTACACCTGAAGCATCCTATTGCTTGTCTCCATAACACTGGTGATTTATATATTTACACTACGTCATTTAGACTGAACCTATGCTTGCCCTGCTTGGCTTTGCCTTGAAGCTCCTGAACAGTGGTGCCAGCCATGTCGTACACGATTAAATCGATGTCATTCAACAAATTCCGAGTTGCCTGTCAAGGTCAGCCAGGTGGCAAAACGAGACTTGAAAGCGACTTGCAAGCCCATGAATATGCCCGGCTAGGTATCAATGCCGCAAACAGTCAGCCACTAAAGCCTGTCACATCCAATAGCATCACATATGCACAATTGCTCCAGTCCGGTGCGTCCATGGGCAGTGGCAAAAATTGCAACATGCCAAAAAACTATCGGCACAAACACAAAAACACACACAAAAACACACACACTCACACCTTCCGGAGCATGCTACGGGACAATGAGATAGGCTGAGAAGGAGTCGCCTGGAAAAGCCAGGCTTGGAATTTAGACTGAATCCAAAGCATAGAAGATGGAACCTAAGACTGCAAACTGGGCAATGCTGCCTGTGGTATGTGACTTATCAACTGGAAGGCTTTCTGCTGAAAAAAACTGACGCTGTCCAAGCGATGCAAAGCGCATACTCTTCAGTTGAATCTTGCCATGATGTCATATTGTGAGACACCATTGCAAAAATTTATAGATATCATTGATATCATTCATTATTAATACATATTAATATATATTAATACCATTCTTATGTATTAACAATCTCAGACCGTCCAATTGCATCCCAGCCTTCGATAGCCTTCTTCATCCTTTTTCCGCTCACGGTTTGTTTACAAGTGTCACATGGGAGAGGCGATGCTCCGTCTTCGGCACTCAGACGACAGTACTTGTGCATCGCCAAATCACAATGGGTGGCAGTTGGCAAATGCGAAAACAACTTCTAAAATTATGTGTTCGATATTGTTCTATCGTTTATAATTTGTAATTGCTCTTGTTTTCCGGATTACATTGTGGGCTTTTCCGGGAAGGCTACATGTATTCAAAGTCTACAGATCAGTAGATATTGTGCAATATGTACACAAAATTAACATAGGGGGTATGAATGTCCAAGTGTACGAAATTATGGAACAGACATGACAGATAAATTCATTCATTATAGAACAGGCCAAAGTTTGGAAGATGAACTGCAAAGTAAGGATGGCAAAAGTACGGTTAGTTTACCGCACTTTTGTCATTCTCTTTCTGTTCTGTAATTCTGTCAAGTCCGAGCAAGAGAATTTAACATAGCTAGTTTGTCGGCAACTGAGTCTTCAACTTCCTACCAGATTCGGCCCTCCATTCATTGTTTGGCATGCCAACTGCAAAAGATTGAATTTGTAACGGGGTCCTACACGGAAGAAAACAATGTGCAAATCAAATGAGCTCTACTCAAATGCGATCGTTTAAATCAGCAAATACGATTACAAACCTTTCATCCATTCCCGTCCATGCACGGTGCTTCTTAATGTTGAGGCAAACTAAGAGCATGTCCACAGAACAGTGGCTGCCTTTGAAGTTTGCAGTGCACTTCCAAGGCTTGACATTTGCAGTTGTGCCTGCTTTCCCTACCTTCACTGGTATCAAGATGGACAAAATCGATCCAACGAAGATAAATGAATATAAGTTTGATGCGATCCATTTCTGGCAAAGACTACATGCATTTGAGGCCAAGCCTTGTAGAAAATGCTTGTTAAGCAGCTGTGACGGAACTGTGAAGCCGAGTGAAGCCCAAACCCAGCTAGAGTTCTTTGAATTCGCTCCCTAGAGGAGTTGAAGCTGAAATTCTGCTGCCGAGTCCTCACTCGAGGGACTTGGTGACTTGGAGTGACAAGTCAAGTTCTTAATACCACCGTGACTTGATCATCTCTGGCGCTCTGTGGTATCTTATGATATCTTATGATATCAGTCATCACTGAATCACAACACAAATTGAGAAATGGAAAGGTCCAAACAACTGACCCTCTGGCAGCTTTCGTGCAATGGTACGATGTAAACACATTAAACTGTCAACTCTGTACTACACTGTACAATAGGAAATTAATTCCAGCATCCGCTGCCATCAGTTGTAGAAAGGTTGGCCAAAGAAGTGGCGGAGTCATCGCTGCTGATGGCCTTCCTTCTCCTTCGTTGAAACAAAGGAGATTTGTCAGGATCAAAGGGAGCACCTGTCTCCAAGCCGGGCTTGCTGTGCAAATCCAGTAACGGAGGCAACACGAGCATTTGTGATCTGGCCACTGAACCCCCAGAACAGCTGGAGGAAGTCTCATCATCCAGTGGTCTGGGAAGCGTGACATCATCGCTCCCGTCACTTCTCTGTGGTGACACCTGGGTGGCTCTTCACATGCCGAACTACCGAGATTTCTGCGCTCTGCTCGGACAGTGCGGTGGACGCAGTCGATCGGCGCCGGAAGAAGGATGGGCGCTTTGGTCCAGCGGGCAAGCTGGTCTGTGGAGCCACCACCAAGCAATGCTCAGGAGATGAAGGCAAATTCTGCCCAGTCCACAGATTGAAAACCTCCACCTCCTCCGAAGTATCTGTGAAAAGGGTGTGCCTGGGAGACATCCGAGGACATGTGGCAGTTGAGAAGTCAGAATCGGTTCCTGCAAAAAGCTCCAAAGATGCGACGGAGTGCCGCCCACTGGACCGACGATCTTCCTCCCAACCCAAGGGTGTTTGTGGCAAACTTGACAAGGCTTCGTGCCACCAGCGTCCCTCTTCGGGCAATAGTACTGGTGGTCCCCAGTCTCGTAGAACCTGACCAGCAGGACCATCAGCCTTCTTGGAGCCCAAGCTCTTCCTCCGACCACTCACAACGACACCCGAAATCTGGAGCAGCCACCCTTGTCCAAGTGGAATCCCATCTTCAGCAACACGTCCGCTGCCCAAGTCACTAACATCCATCATCACTTGTTCTTCTTGTGTAAACCCTTGAAGCCCAGACCATTCACGTTTGGCCCACATGGCATGGCGTGTTTCCTCGCGGCGGATGTAGGCAGCTCCCCGACCTCGTTTGAAGTCTCGGGAGGAAATGGCTGCGTTGCCAGCGTTGCCAGCGTTGCCAGCGTTGCTATTTCCCTCAGCTCCAGCTCCAGAGGACTCGGAATGAAACGCCTTGAGGCGCCTGACTGCAGCTTCTGCTGCACGATCCAGTTGCTCGATGGGAGACTGAAGCGAGGCTTCACGGACATCCTGGCCCAGCTGGCCATGCAAACGTGGGTTTTTAACGATAAAAAAAATGTCAAAACATTCCTTCAGTTATTTGACATGTATTCACAGCAAGCCACAACCAATCGAGATTTTCAAAAGACCGCTGGGTCCTCTAATTCCACATCTTTGTGATGGAAGGCCACGAAGTGGCCGCCAAAGTGCACTTTCTCGATATTGTGTCCAGCCCCAGGGATCAAGGTCAAAGCACCTCCGACACAATCTGCATGAGAGACAAGCAGAAAGTTTCGGGACACCTGAGCGAAAGGACGGCTGGGTGGTTAGCACGTAGGAATACATAGGATGCAAAACTACAACATACTACTACAACCAAATCAGTGTTAAAAGTCCGAGGTTTAATATATTCCATGCATGTTGTCAAAACACTGGCCTTATGACCCCTCTTCAAATACTCCACGAAGCGCGTTGCAAAGCGCGCGCGTGCACCTTTAAGCGTTTCTGGCCAACTGGGCCACTTCCCTACTAGTCTCCGTACTTCCAAACTCTCAACGCCGTGTGCTAAACAAAAGTCTGCGCTTTGCTGCAGAGGCCGCACTGGCTTGTCAGGTTCCGCGTCTCCAATTATACAAGGGCCATAAATCTCAGCCAACGAGTTGTCAATAAGCAGCTTGGTGCCCCGTCCAAACGGCTGACAGATCATAGCAGCAGTTTGTACACAGCGCAGAAAAGGCGAGGTGATCACCACATGCAAATCAGTATCCAACTCTTGGAGCATTTTCCGAAATTTCAGGCCAAGTTCTCGGGCACCGAGTAGTCCTGCATCACTCAGCGGAGGGTCATAGGGCCACTGTTTGGAGTCCTCCAAGAGGCACCATGGCAAGCCGTCCACCAAGGCGCCCACATCATCGGCCCGTTCCGCATGTCGGCAGACACCCAAAAACTGGAAGCACTTGGAGGGTTCACTGCTGCACCTGGAGGCTGAGGGAGCCCGAGCTGCGCCTGGTGGCTGATCCATGGCCGGCCAATGACTAAATTTGCTAAATCCTTGAGCCGCAAAAGTCGAGGACCAAGATGACAAGCACCAAACATGATGAGAGATGAATGGTTTGCTAAGGCTGCTAAGGTCTAAAAATTTGGAGATCACGCTACCCCACCTGACTGCCATAGCCTCGCCGGCTCAGGGAGTCTAGCCCCTCACACGACAGGATTTGAGCAAAGCAGCTGACTTGTCTTACAGTCTTACTGTCTTGCTTTATGATGTTCTTCATTTTTTTGTCATGTGAGCTTCATCCTACGTTTGTCGAGGGACTGCCGCATGGCTCTGCAAATGATAGTGCCCCTATTGACCTGTACATACCTTTACCACCTTTACCATTTTTGGCAACATGTTTGGACAGTGTTGCCTTCAAAGGCAGCAATTTTCAGCAGGCTTTCAGAAACTTCCCAGCTGCAGTTCTCTTCGACTAGGCTTTCTACCGTCGCAAGTGCTCTTGTTTGGAGTCTTGCTGGCAGCCGCGGCAACCTCCAAAAGTCGTTGCAAAACACGGACGCAGCAAGGGATCCTGAATGAGGAGGCTCAAACTGGCTTTCCAGCACAAGTCAGAATACACTGAATACACCAAAATTCTAAGTCCAGTGATTCAAAGTGAAAAGTTTTTGAAACCATATGCATGCACGTTTCAGCTTCTGTCCCGCTTCTGCTCCAGCCTCAAGGACCGTACCACCGGCATGATGGGTGCACTATACTTCAACATCGTTGACGAATCCTTCAAGACAATGTGGTGAATGGTGTCCCTTCCAATCATTGGATCGTTCAGCCTGACCATTGTATCCGACTGTTGCATGTCATTGTGAGCATCGTGGCTCAGCGGCTTAAGCCTGAACTTCGGACCATGTCGGACCATGTCGGACCATGCACTCATTGGAAACTACACGGCAAGGGGGAGTCGCACCATCTCTGGAGTTGGGTCAAGGCCACCTACAAAAGAATCAGAGAAGCACGCAGCAAGCTGAAGAAAGCTGAAGCAAGTTGTTTCGTTTGGTTGGGTTTTGCGTAGCCTCTGAAATCTGAAACCGGTCCAAACCCTAGATTGCTGTAAACATAGTAAACAATCCTGCCTGCTCCGAAGCCGAAGCCGGTACCAAAGTCGTTCCCAAAGCCAGCACCACCGAAGTTTCCAAAGCCAGCATTGGCTTGCCAACTGCCGCTGGTGGAGTTTGCAAAACTTGGACTGGACTGCCCCAAATGCAACAGGCCAATTACACTGGATGCGACGGTTCTTAAACCATTGATTGGACCATCCAAAGAAGTGAAATGAACTTATTCGTTCAACCATTCAAAGAAGGGAATTGGTGTCAAAACTTTTGAGAAGGGCAACTACTCTGTCAGACACTACTAGAAAGTGTCAAATCGGGCAAAAAGTTCACAGGCTGCACCTAGTGTCAAAGCCTGCTTGCACCTCAGCTTCAGATCCAGATATGAGCTAGGTGATCACATGTGATCACAAATGTTGCAAACTTGAGACGTCATCGAGATCCCTAGAAACATCTAGAAATCAAGGTCCCAACAAGATTCTGGTCAAATGAATGAGGTTCCTTATGAGGTTCTTCTTGTTATATACATTTGTTACACTCACCAGCTGTGACATCACCAAGGAGCTTGTGGAGATGCTTCGCTGGTGCCCTCAGCTGACAGCTCGCCTGGGCAGTCAAGCTACCTTGTGGCTAAACCAGCACTTCAGAGGAATAGGGAGTAACAAAGCAGAAAAGCAGATTTTTTCACGATAAATGCTAAATGATAAATAATCACCAAACATACATAAACCGACATAAACTATATTATAGAAATAGAATGAAATAGATATAAATGGCTGTTCAAACAGTGTCTGGCCGAAAATTTAGACTTCTGCGTTCTTCGTGCTGCATAGGAAAAAGCAAATCATATTGTGGGGGCAAGGCGCACAGCACACCTAGCCCAGCTCCAATCTGTTTATCGTTCCCCCACCTGGGAGCTCGCTATGGCGGTGTTTGCCTGCGTCTGAAAGCCGTCTTGAGGCTGGAACCCAACACTGCAACCCGTCAAAGGTTGAACGCCATGCCGGCCATGCCTTTCTTCTTTTTTTTCTTCACCTTGTGATCAGCCTGCGGAGCCGCAGCGAATGCATAGTGGGATCTCTAGGGACTTGATCTAGACTCATCTACCAGCCACAGCAGTTGCAGTATGGCACCTCTTCCGTGGAGGCGGGAGAGCCAGCATGCCTGCTGCTATCACCAGATGGCTCGGAGGGCGCTGCTCTTTCCGGAGCTTTGGGCTTCGCTTTCTCTGGCGGTTTCTCCTCGAAGGTCTTCGGGGTTGCCCAACTAAACTTGGCTCCCAAACAAAATCCACGATTTTCATCACTTTCAGTCTACAACTATCCATTTTTAAAGAGGAGTATATTATATAAGTATATTGATATAATGGTCTTGAATAGTCTTGAGCCAATCCCACTTAGTCGCATTCGAAAAATTCCATCCATGATCTGTGGCCATGGCGGTCATTACTTCTAAAGTTCTAAAGTAAGGCCCCTACCGGCCGCTTCGCGGGCTCTGGCTTTGTCTGGCAGGAATGGAGTTGAACGTCCATCACAAAGGCAATCCGACTCTCATTCTTGTACTGCAACAAAACAAACACCAACAAATTGCAGAAATCCGGTCACTCAAAAAACACCAATATTCCCTCTTCTTCTCTGGGAACCGCATTGTGCAAGTCACGCAATTTCAAGGAAGGTCTGAGCGATGCTTGCGGATCGCCTCTCACTTCTGGTCATCCTTCTGTTCGAGCGATGCCTGCGAATTGTCTCTCACTTGGGGTCCTCCTTCTTGTCTGAGCTGCTTCCATCCTTCTTGTCTTGCGAAGCACCACTGACCTCCTTTAAGGCCTCTTGGATGCGTTCATCATTAATATCCACTCCTGGCAACGAGCCAAGTAGCTCTTGGACAAAGGACGGATCTTGCAGCCATCTAGAATCAAGAGATGGTTCTGAGGAGTCAGCTGCCTTCTCTTCTGCCGGCATCTCAGCATCTTTTGCAGCAGCTGGTGCCTCCATTTCCTCTGCCTTGCGCTTGGGCGCAGGAGGATCCGCTGCACCTGGTTCCATCTCTTGCATTGACAGGAGTAGTGCTTGTCGCAATTCATCATCCATATCTTCCATGCCCATGGCTTCCATGACTGCTGCATCTGGCGCAGGGGCAGATGTGGCAGGCGCCGCAGCTGCTGGAGCTGCATCTGTCGCTGTGGCGGCGGCTTGCGGGGCTTCGGCCGCACTGGCTGCTGCGGCACCATCTCCACCCTCCACTGCCTGCTGCCTGGCGCGCTCTTCTTCCATGGAGATGCGCAAAGCCAGGGCAAGCTCAGGATCTTCTTGTGGGTTGATGCCAAACTCGAAACCAGCACCACCATCGCCACCACCTGCCTCACCATCAGGGTTGATGATAGGGGATGAGAGTAAGACGTCACTGAGGAGCTTGGGCCCTACAGGCGCTTCCAGCAAGTGAGAGGTGTCGTTGCTGTTGAGAGCATTCATAAGCTTTTCCAACTTTGGAGCATTCTCTTCAACCTCACCAAAGCTGACCAAATCCAATGCCACACTGTTCTTCTTCAGGTTCTTGCCCAATGCTTCCAATTCCTTCTCGGTGGCGGTCACAGGACTGCCCACAAAGGCAATGATCCTCTGCTTCTGCTTTTTGTTCTGCCGATGCTTCAACGCCAACTGAGCTGTTTGAATTCCTCTGAGCAGGTCAGCATTGCCACCTATCTGTACCTTGTTGAGTTCAGTAACCAATCTGCCCAAATCTGATGTTGGTGTCACCATCACTTCAATGCGATCACCAGCAGCTGCCAAAATGCCAACTGCATTCTCTGGATTTTGATTGGTCTTGGCCCCACAGAGCAAGTTTGCTGCATCAGATTGGGAGTCGAAACGCGTTGGCATGTAGTCACCATTCCTGGTGTAATCCGAATTGTCAAGGCAAATCATGACTGCCTCCAACGGCATAGCTGCGTCTTGGACGAAGATCCCGGCGCACCGGTGATCAGAACAGCAGCCTGGCAGTGTCCGTGAAGTTGGCCACAGGAATTCAAATCGCACCCCCGTTCTTGAGCCAGACTGCGTTCGAAGCTGTTCAGCAAGGATCACCAACGTATAGCACATCAGTCAACACCCTGGCAGATGTGGCAACATGGTTTGAAGATTTTCACAGAGTTGTCACAGCTTCAGCAGTTTTAAGAATTTGCAGAATGTCTGGAACCTTCCAACAGAACCTTCTCATCACACAAAACACTCGGCACAGGCCAGAGACACGTCCATGAGGCCCAAAGCAGCCGCCTGCTGCACACAGCGCCAGAAGCCCAGATCCCACGAGGCATTCCCCGACTGTGCAACATTTCTATGAAAGCAAAATCATCAAAATCCAACTTAAGGCATCTTGAGGCATCTTGAAGCTTTGCACAAACAGGTCGCTGTGAAAATCCAGACAGTTTGCTCATGTTTGTCTTTGCACGCCATTTGACCGTACCGCCGTACTGGTAGACTAAAATGCACACAACATACAAAAGAGAGGACAAAAAATGGTGTGCACCAGACATAGAAGCACAAAACCTATCAAAGATCCTGACACGGTGAGAAAGCCCCTGACCATGAAGATACCCCACAGTGATACCCAACCTTGTTTGAAGAGCGGACCAAGAAAATTTGAAAATTGCAAAAAAAGGATCTCGTTTGACGCAGCCAACAAAACCAACTCCCGCCTCCGCCATGACAGCCGCCTGAGTGCACAGATCAAATAGATCTGCCAGCTTCCAAAAGAGGAAACCCTGTCACTGTGAAAAAGAGGAGGTGACAGCCACAGCTCCTCACATTTTTCTGGCTGGAGAGAGTTTCACCCTGTCACTGACTCTATCCAAAATCTCATTTTGCGTCGAGATTCAAAGCGCTCAAAATGTTCAGCCAAGGCACGTGACGATCCGCATTGCTCAGTTTTTGTGGAGCTTTGTGGCGGTCATCATCTGAATCATGGTCACCTCCAATGAGCCTTGAAACCACTAAAAACGCCACTCAACAAATCTGGCAATCCCGGTGCACACGGAGGTGCCAGGGCCAAACAACCTAGGGGAAGATGCACAAACAAACAACTTGATTTCGAGTACAATCTTACAGGATCTTACAGGATCTTACAGGGACCCTGTATCTTGTTGCACAATTTGTTGCCAGTGCGTCATTCACTTTCTAAGAGTGCTCATGCATCCTCAAATCTGCAATTACAAACAAATAACACCGACACACCAAATGCGCGTAGTGTTTGCACGCATGCATCGTGCACAATGCAATAATATAATTTTTGATTAATTTTGCGTCTATTCCACAAACATGCAGCACACCTTTATCCACATGATGCATTATGCACGTATGGTAATTACCCTCTGGTAATTTAACATAGCTATTGAAAATCACCATTTTTTATGGGAAAATCCACTATTAATGGTCATTTTCAATAGCTACGTTAAATTACCAGAGGTATTTGTGTGTGTGTGTCTATGTGCGGGCACGTGACCCACAACTCGTCAATGCAGAACCAGGTCTGTGGTCGAGGCCAAATCGAACTCATTTTTTAGCCAGGACTGACTGCATCCAAGCAACCGTCCGAAGCCACCAAAGCCCCAAACCATTTGGAAGGCGGCAACTGTTGGTTAAAGCAAAATAATGAACAGTTGATGGCTGATGTGTTTGCAACAGAACATTTCTATAGGGAAAGTTTCCTTGTCTGATTCGATGTTTTCGAATTATGCTCGTTTTGGTATGGTGATCGCATTGTTACATGCAAAGATATAGTGAGCAGGTCTAGCACTCGTGGGTCACGGGTACAGAATTGCACTACTTCTTGGCCAAGATAACAATTTCAAGATCTTCATTCTGCCACTTGGCAAGCTGAAAAGCTGCAGGCAGTAAGCATGTCCCAACTTTAAAGCCTTCTGTGTCGCAGAAAACAACGAAAATGTCTCTGTCTCGAAAACGACGGTGACCAACCACTGTGTCATTCAGGGCCAGGCAGTGCCTGGATGGCCTTTATTTTGTCTCGCCGGAACACAATGGACGGATCCGCTCATCCCATTTCTGCCATTTCCTCATCTGTCATGGGCCGCCACGGGCCACCTTCACACTCTTGCACTTTTGGTCGCATCATCTTTTGCATCATCTCTTGCAGTGAGCCGTCTTGCATGCTGCGCGCCATACCTTCCAATCGACGGGCCTTGGCCCCTTCTATCTTTTTTACCACCAACTTCTCAAAATTCTGGCGCTTGGCTGAGTCGATCTGAAGTCTATCCAAGATCTGGTTGGCGAAGTATTTGAAATCGTGTTTCCAATAGGCCAACTCTTTGGACTCGTTGACCCAGCCTGTGATGTGATCACAAACAGCAAGATTTTCAGCACCCTTCAAGAGGCGAGACAGCACCGCTTCTGGAATGCTATCCGGAGATGGGAGTCCTTTGATGGCTATATCCAGAATCTCTGGAATGCGTTCATCTCTCAGATCACTTTGCGCATTGGACTGTTCAATCGAAAACCCAAACTTTGCTTCTAAGCCAGAGAACATCTGCGACGCAGCTTGGGGCGGAAGCATACCAACATGACCTGCGTGAACTGCAACTTCTATGGCCACTATGGCTCTCAAGAGCGGGCAGGACTTGCATGCTTCAGCACGTTGCATTCCTGTCAGGAGGAAACGCCAGTACGGGTCACGAGAGGCATTAAAGCTTTCTATTTCAGAGTACTTCCTGTAAAACTTCTGGTCAAAGACCTTCAAAAACTCATCAGCACGCTCAAGCGAAGAATGGGCCATCGATGGATACGCTGCTAAACTCCAAATCTAATGAAGCTGCCTGTTCTTGTTATTGGAAAAATAATCGGAAAGAATCCAGGAGTCTCAACACCCGCAAATTCAGCGTGCAATCTTGGTGTCTTGTTCCCTGGTGGTCTCATGTGGTGCTTCCATTGTGCTTCCCTGACAGCTTGAGCCGCGTTTCAATGTAGATCAACCAATGGTATCCAATCATATCAGCTGTATCCAATGGTAATTACCTGGTAAGCAAAGGAAAAAAGCAGATGTGTTGCAGTCTTTTGATTTCACGTATGATTTCACATGGAATCTACTCGAAGTGCGGAAGACATTTCCAGGATTTCGGCCAGATTGTTTTAGCTTTGGAACGTGGCATAACATGGTTCAGATCGAAAACTCAAAACGAAAACCCTGTGATCAAACAACATTGACATGCTACATCATTTCCATCTGGAATCTGTGAGTCTTATGTGTCCTTTGTTGTACTTGCAGTCACTTGCAGCGGCACAAGCGCTGTATTTTCACGGCATCAAAAGTTCGCATGAGCCCAAGCACATGCTGGAGTTTAGCCATTTTTCGGCCGTGCTTCGACTGGATTAGTCAGAAGCAGTTGCACGTCAACCCACCCAGCTGTAGTGAAGAGGCAGAAAACGAATCATGGAATTGGTAATGCTCCGTTCGGATATAAAGTAAAGCAAGTCTCTCAATTGTCAAGTGCCTGAAGTTTCACTATCATGGGTGTGATGATGATCAAGAAGAGATTCAAGAGGTCTTGTAAGCGGAAGAGTGAACGCAGGTCCAGCACTCCCAATTTTGAGCAGACGGTAACTGCTCCAAAATCTGTGCATCAAGCAAATGTGCAGATGCTGTGCCAAGCCAGCCGTAAAATTCTGGCTGCAAGAAAAAGTCACTAAGACTAAGCACTTACCTTCTCCATGTAACCCCCATGGTTGAAGGAAGACTTGGAAGATGTCACTAAATGACACTGGATGTTATCCAGTTTGATTCAATTCAGCCTTTCGATGATCTCAACATATTCCTGCCATGAGCACACATCCCAGAAAGATTTACCACTGCTCTCTCGCAACCACTTCCTGTGGATGGCCGCACATGTGAAGATGGCCGTTTTGATGTCGGTGATCAATGGTACACCGGCTTCGATGGCACCCCGACGCATTTTGAAGCCATCGGTCATTCCATTGGAGTCCATGGAATCTGGGACATTGATCATCATGTCCATCTTGCCGGCTTGCAGGAGGGTGAGCACGTTTGGCTCCTGTACCACATTTCAACTCTTGCCGAACGACATGAAACAAATCAAAAGACAAAAGAAACTTGCCGCAGACATGCGGCACAGGCATCTGGCAACGCATTCCGAGTGAGGGACTCAAATGTGATTTTGCTCAAGCATGTCAGACGAGACACTTTCTTGATCAATGGCTTGTAGACCAGGCTGCAAGACACTCCATGCTTCGACAGGTAGTCCGAGGTGCTCTTGGTTGCAAACAGGCTGAAGCCCATCTCCTCATGGCATTGCATATGTCAAGTATTGTCAAGTCAACTTCAAGTCAACCGCTCCTTGACTTTCAACAGAAAGTACATGGCTTTACGCGAGATGTTGGGATGCACAGACTCTCAAGCACTAGTGTGGAGGGTGACAGGCTGTCCTGAAGCTGCTTGGCTGCGCCTGTACTCACGAACTCGTGCTTGGCACTGTTGGGACCCAGGGAGATCACAATGTTCTTCCTTGGCTTTCGTGGAATCTAGATACACGACAATACACATACACGTAGGTATGCTTCTTCTAACGATTTCAGCAATTCTTGCGAAGCAACCAAGGTGTCACTCACCTACATCAATATTGCTCAGGCACACGGACACATTTACACTCCAAGGAAAAGATTCACAACCCAATGCAGAGGGCAAAACAGCAATCTGAAGCTAGGCTTCTTCGGAAGCTTGAAGTTTGCAGCGAGCATGCCTCAGATGCAACATGATTCAACAAGGCAAGGAGAATGAAGATTCAATTGTTCAACATATAACAAACAACCTGCAGTCCACCCTTCCAAGAAAAGACTGGATCTTTGAAAAAAGAGAAGTAAGATGAAGGAGGGGATGCCCAATCATTCATGGGATTACCTGCTGGTTTGGACAATTGAACAGAGTCGACTGATGTCGACTGCAACTTTCAAGGGCGTTTGCCAACGGTGGTCAAGGTGCCCTTCAAGAACGCCTCGTGGACATTCACGCCGAAGCAAGCCACTTCACCAGTTGAAGACATTTCCACCCCGAGGCGAGGATCCGAATTCTTCAGCCTTCCAAAGGAGAACATAGGGCATTTGCACGCAACATAGTCGATATCCATCGGTTGGATGATGGCTGCATGGACAGGAAAGCCAGTCATGATGCGCGTTGCCAGTTCAATGAAGTTCACCTTGAGAGGTGAATGCTGGCGAACCTTTGGGGCTTTATGCAGCCTGCTGGGGCCATCAGCATATTTACTCAGCAATTGACTGCAGTCATTCAATGTGACAAAGAAATACAAAGAACAGGTCCCATACAAATTCATGAAAGCAGCATTGTAGGTCTTGGAAATGAAGGGCATGGATCGCGAAGCTCTCAGATTGCACTCAATGACCTTGACTTCGTTGTCCTTGCAAATGAACTGGATGTTGAATGGCCCTGCCAGCGCATGGCACATGACACTTGGATGGGACAGGCAAGAAATCAGAGCCAACTCGTTGGAGGAAGCGCAAACTAAACCGCCTCAAAGATCTAATGAGTCGGATAAAAATAAAAAGTACAGGGTCCAGTGAACTTGACGGAAGTTTCCACATTTGCGTCTGGCACTGCGTTTTCCCCCCTTCACTCCTGAGATCTTCAACGCTTTGCACAACTTCTGCGAAATGCTCTTGACTCGTCGGTGGGTCTCCACAAAGAGGCGCTGGGCAGGCAGAAGTAGAGTGGCATCTCCACTGTGTACACCAGCATTCTCGATGTGCTCGGCAATGGCATAGTTCACCAACTCGCCTTCGTTGCCAATCGCATCCATTTCCACCTCCTTGGCGCCGGTGATGTATTTCGAGATCACTACAGGGTGATCTCGGCTCACCACTGCCGCGGTCTTCAAGAAAATGTCTAACCTCAGGTTATATGATGTCATATGACTTCATGAAGCCGTGCAGAACGGCATGTCACAGCTGTGTGCCCCAGTCTATTGTCCTCTGAAACAGGGACTCTTACGATCTCTTACTTAAAGTTCTTTCTGGTTCTTTCTCTTGAATTCAAGTTTTTGACCTGGCCCTGCGAACACACTCTTTGAACTCGGGTCAACAAACTACACTTAGACACTTTGAGGCGAGCACTCGTCATCATTGGTGACCACGCGCATAGCTGCACCACTCAAGACATACGATGGCCGGACGAGAACTGGATAGCCAGCGACTGTGCAGAATCGGCGCGCTTCCTCAGCTTGCAGCTACAAAAGCCTAGTTCAATTCGTTGGTTTCAGTTCAGCAAGCAATCATGATATCATACCCTTCTGCCAAAACTCCTACCAGTTCTTTGGGGCATGAATCAAATCCTTCAGCAGTCTCTGTCTAAAGAAAACACAAATAAAAACCAAAAATCTCAGTTCTCATCCTAAACATTCATAAGCAAAGGTTTTAGTTTCCTCCAATGTAGCGAACTCCGACCATTCAGGCTGGTCCACGCGCAATCGATCGCAAAGCTGGCTAAACTTGTTCCTATCTTCACATGCATCAATTGCCTCGACTGAAGTACCCAAAATGCGGATACCACACCTGATGCAACAGGCAACATCAGACAACACAAACAGTTTTTGACCACATGAGGTTATATACCTCTTTTTGTGCAGTGGTGCAGGGAGTGCGGGGTGCCTTGTTTATAATCTGACATTTTTTTACAATTAGACATGATCTCTGACGATTTGCTCTTCTTGACCGCACCAAAACCGACTTGCCAACCTACTGATTTCAGATGTGAAATTGGGTCCACTATAGTCGAGTGGTGTTGCCTCAGTTTCCCCATGTTTTTCCATGGTTTTGCCTACCTGTGCAAGCCCAAGGCCAAGTTGTTGGGTGTCTGGCCACCAACGGACACCACCACCCCACGCGGCGTCTCCAACTCAGAGATGTCCATGACACGCTCGTGACTCAGTTCTTCAAAGTACAAGCGGTTCGACTCGTCGAAGTCCGTGGACACCGTTTCCTAAAAATGGCACAGCCGTGGCACAGGCCTGGCACCCATTTGAATTTCCCAACTGAAAGATTAGTGATCAGAAAGGCTTCAATCGCATTGAGCCCAAGCCAAAAAGATGCATGCATGCAGACTGGCTAAAAGGGAAAACATATGAAGATATGTGTGTGTGTACATATATATATATATAATCTAGTAAACAAATCTGAATAGATCCTTGATGAAGCTTAGGGCCTAGGGGCGGGATTGCAGTTGATGACGATTGCCTTGTGTCCCAAAGACCTGAGAGTACGGACGCAGGACACACTGCACCAGTCGAACTCCACGCTGCTTCCAATCCTGTAAGGGCCGCAGCCCAGAACGATGATGCGCGATTCGGCCTCTTCTTTGGAGTCAGAGCCCTGAGCCTGGAACTTCAACGTCAAAGGCTCAGGAATGGCAGGTGTCAAGTCAGTGACTTTGACATCTGAGCATTGCTTCTCACTGCCCGCCAGGTCGACATCATGCTCTTCACCAGAGTAGGTGAGGTACAAATAGTTTGTCTCTGCTGGGTACTCAGCCGCCAACGTGTCAATCTGCTTCACCACCGGTACGATGCCAAGCTTCTTGCGCAGGTGACGAATGTGTGCTTCGCTCACAGGACCTCCTGTGTAGCGCAAGGAGCCGTAGTCAACCGGAAGAAGTGCCGGCGAAGCGACGTACTCCATCTTTTCAGGCTCTGACACCAAGGCAGCGATCTGACGATCCGAGAATCCGCGCAACTTGGCCTCCTTCAGCAGCTCTGGCTGGTTGCGAAGCTGATTGAAGTCCATGGACTTCATCGTGCCTTTGATCATGTGCAAACCATGAAGCTTCGAAAGGAACCAGCGGTCAATACCTCAGTTCAAGTAGAAAAACATGAAAAAACGAGAACTCAAGAATAGGTGCCTACAACAATCATGATCACTCTGGAACTGCAAAATCTTAATGAGGCAGGTCCTTTCAGGAAGGTAATCATTCAAAATGAGCTGCTGGTCAGTTCATGAACTTCCTCCACATTCATACCATGTTCGAAGGCCTTGGCAATGGCCCACATTCGCACGGGAGTTGGATGGGCCAGCTCCTTCTTGATCTCTGCCTCCAAAGACGCACCTGACCAGGCGTTGCTCTTGAAGGCGGTTCAACTATGTTCAACTCATATATATTATTTGCATATATTATATATTATATATTATATATTATATATTATATATTATATATTATATGTTATATATTATATGTTATATATTATATATTATATATTATATACTATATATTATATATTATATATTATATACTATATATTATATATTATATATTATATATTATATATTATATAAAATTATATATTATATATTATATATTATATATATTATATATTATATATTATATATGTTATATTCATTATTTTTCTGTTTGCAGTAAAATCCTGTAAAATCAGTAAATTTGAAGCTTTTAACCAAGCCACCTGCGGACTCTCCCTTCTGGGAGGACGAAACGGACCCACGGCGGTTGAGTTCGAGATCAAAGCGGATGTGATCGAATCCCAGACTGGTTTCATCCACCATCCGCAAAGCCTTCTGGATGGTCTCCTGCCAAATGCTCAGAGATGGAATGGGACGGACATCTTTTTGCTGGACTTGGCGAAGTTATTCTTTCACCATCTTTTACCTAAGCATGAACATCTGCCCATTTTCAAACAACTCCAAGAGCTCCGACTAGCAGGGAGGAGCTACGAGCTAGGGGCTGAGTCTTATTCGTTTCTGTGGTCTTCGTTCTTCGTTTTGTGTTCCTTGATGCTCGTCAGATGGCACGTCCATGGCACGTCCCGTCCTCAAAGGTTCTTCCAATGGCCATGACCTCGCCCACGCTTTGCATGGCAGAGCCAATGCGAGCATCCACCGTGGAGAACTTCTGCAGATCCCAGCGTGGCACCTTGGCCACCACGTAGTCCAAGGATGGCTCGAAGCAGGCCGTGGTGCAGCGCGTGACGCTGTTCCTGTGCAAAACAAAAAATGAGAACATCCGAGAACCGATCTGTCACCTGCTGACTCAATCTGGGTGGACGCTCAATCTCGCTTCTGGGCTAGGCTTCTAGGTGAAAAAGCCTCTTTGATTGCACCTGAGGTTCTGCCATCTGAACAAAAATCCGGCAGCCAACCCGGCATGCCCGGAAACATCAAAAGACAGCTCCCCAAACCTACTGCAACCCGTCATGCCCCGTTGGCGTCCGTTGGCCCCATGTCGCCTGAGTTGGACCAAGTCGTGACCCAGCGCCAACTTCGCTGCGACCTAAGCCAAAGGATATCCGGTGGCCTTGGATGCCAAGGCACTGCTACGGGAGAGCCTCGCGTTCACCTCGATGATGCGGAACTCTGAGCTGTGAGGATCCACGGCATATTGGATGTTACACTCGCCCACGATTCCTGGGAACCCGGGGAAGCGGGAACGGAAGGCGGAACGCAAAGAGGACGCAAGGAGTGATGGTGACATGAACAGCACCATTGCCATGCTCGAACTTGTCAAAAGATTGCTGAAGTGGTGAAGTGGAAGGTACAACAGGGTGAAAGAGGGTGCCAGATACTTCTGGCCTCCCTACCTCCAACAGCTTAGCACGAAGCTACCATGAAATTCTCGGAAGCTGACTAAGCCTGACCAAGCTAAGTCTCCAAGATGTCGGATGATCTTCAGAGCACATTGGCGCAGCCGGTAGTACTCATCGTTGCTCAAAGTCTGCGAAGGTGCAATCACAATGGACTCACCTGTGTGGACACCCATTGGGTCGAAATTCTCCATGTTGCAGACAGTGATGCAGTTGTCGTTCTTGTCCCGCACGACTTCGTACTCGAGTTCTTTCCAACCCTTCCTGTGACGCGGCCAAAGTCCGACTAAAAAAAGGAAGCACTAAACCTCTGACTCTAAGTCAACACTCTGCACTGCAACCTTTCTCTGCATCCGGAAAGACATGCTTTCCGAGCTAGCAAAACACACCGAAATCTAGGTTGTCAGCTCTGTAAACAGGAAGAACAAAACTCATCTGTCATCTGTCTGAGACTCAAAGACTTGTCGATGATAACCTGTGGGCTGTTGACCAGCGCCACATTCACCAGCTTTTTCAAGTCCTCCTCGTTGTATGCAAAGCCACTGCCCAAACCACCAAGTGCATAGGCTGCCCGGACCAGCACAGGGTATCCGATCTTTTCAGCCTTAGACTGCTTTCGCTCGGGAGGCAGATGGAAAACGCTGCAAAACGGGAAAAAAAACTTTGTGCATGCCTTCATATCACCATGTCTTCCATATCTTTCCTGAAGAATCACTTGCTTCAAGTAGTGTGATGCAGTTCTCAATGCAGAACTGTCCGAGATCCTGTTGTGGTGAAAGGATGTAGAAGGGATTAAAAGGGCATATTTGGGGTCTGCGTGCATCAAAGGCACTGCTTTGACAGCATCAGGAACAGAGTCGCAGCATGAGCTTTCAGCAATTTTCTCACCACAGGCATCGACCACCTGAAGAAGAGTCAAGAGATGCTTGTGGCATCTTGTGTCTCCTCAACCCGGCTCATGTTCTATGTTATATACAATTGTACGTCGTTGTACATCGTCATACATGGTTCCACGTTTCTACATCTATGTTGGCATATGTTGGCAGTAGTTGTCAGCCAAGCTCCTGAAAAACCTTTCACACTGGTGAAAGAAAATCAGAATTAAATGCATGCAAATGGAATGTGATTCAATGCGCAAAGACTGGTTGAAGTTTGGGTCGCAAGTCACCTTGCTGAAGAGATCTCGGTCTTCTGTCTTCATGATGGCATCGATCTGAGTTCCTCAGTCCCAGAATGCTTTGGTCAGCGTGGAGGGAACTATTGTCATTGCACTTGCGACAGATACCCATAGATGAACAAACCAGGTGTTCAGAGAGTCAAGAAGTGATCATTGACAATCTACACACGCGCAAATTCCGAACACACGATTGGAATACTCAATCTAGTCCTATCAAGCACCAAATGCACCAACTACTCCAAGGAGCCAAGTACCTTGACGTTATACTTTTCGAAGACCCCTGCTTGGTACAACTTCACCGCGCAGTTCAAGGCCGTCTGCCCACCAAAGGCTGCAAAAATGCCATCAGGCTTCTCACGCTCAATGACTTTGACCACAAATTCTGGAGTCACTGGCAGAAAGTACACACGGTCGGCCATTCCGGCGGATGTCTGAACTGTGGCAATGTTGGGGTTGATCAAAATCGACATCACGCCAGCTTCCTTGAGTGCCTTGATGGCCTGACTTCCAGAATAGTCAAATTCTCCTGCCTGTCCAATGGTCAGTCCGCCAGAGCCCAACACTAAGACTTTGCGGTACAGAGTTGGCAGTGAGTATGGCATTGTGGTCACCACCGAAGCAGTTGGTTCAGCAATGAATTGCAGAAAGTAGTTGAACAGGAAATCCGTGTCCGTTGGACCGCCTTTCGCTTCTGGATGAAATTGCACAGAGAACCACGGCTTGGAGGAGTGAATGATGCCTTCATTGGTTCCATCGTTGGCATTGACCTTGGCTACAAGTCATACGGTCGTTTCGTACAGGAAAGAAAAAATGAAATATGCCGCCTTATGAATAATTTAAAAAAACTAAACAGAACGTTCCATCTCAGCCAATAGCAGTTGTCCATGAGCGGAACCCAGTGCTGTGGCAACGTAGTTTGGTCCACGGCAAAGCCATGGTTCTGGGCGGTGATGTAGCAGCGCTGGGTTCGGAGATCGACCACCGGCTGGTTCATGCCACGATTCCCAAACCTACCAGGCGGACTGATTGAATTCATGTTGTGCAAAGCAAAGGCAACTACATACCTAGCTACCTGAATTTGACTGCAGTTTACAATGTACTTATATAGATGTGAGAAGAATAATTGCAGTATCAGCATACGTTGCTTGTGCCATGCTGCACGAATCTGAAAGGGATCTGATGTTCTCAAATGCACTTGAAGGACGCCCACAAATGCCCAATCGGTTCATTTATCAGTTTGGTGACACCCAAAGCGACGGTATTCAAATGCTTGGCAAGCTTAGCTACGTACATGGAAAGCTGCATGGAAGCCACAGTTCAACTGAATCTTCCGAGTGCCTCATCTTGTAGGTAGAGGCCCCAGCTGCCAACGCCAAGATCTGATTTCCCAAGCAAATGCCGAAAATTGGTGTGTCAGGTCGATGCTTCATGACCTCAGAAAATCAAGGAGTTTCTTCAAAACTTCATTCCAAATCTATCCCTCTTCTGTCAGCGAATCCTTCGCATCGAATCGGAGGATTTTTTTCGAAGAAGGAAGAAAACAAACAAGTATACCTAGTCAAAAGTCAAGATCTTAAATGACTTAAGACAAGCGCTGAAAGCGAACTAAGGCTGTGTCTAAGGGATCTAAGGCCAAAGAACATACTTCACATGCTCCACAGTCTTGGCACACATCGTGGGGTCGCCTGGGCCGTTGGAAAGAAATAACCCATCGAAGGAATCTTGCGTGAAGTCATAGTCCCACGGCACCACAGTGACTCGCAGCCCAAGCCCGTTGACCAGGTACCTGGCACCAACTTGAGAATTGCAGCCCTTTCAGGCCTTCAAGTGAGGCGACAAATGATTAGTCGAAACAAATTCAACATCTCGCAAAATTGATTGGCCATTGGTCATGTATTTCATGTTGTTGTGATTCAACCGTCATGGGTTGCATGTACTGACGTCAACTGTATTTGTTAAATTCAAAAGGTGCATGAGGGCAGCTGCTGAGCCTGATGATGTTGTTCTTCATACCGCAATCCACGGCCAAGACATGAACCTGTTTTTTCGATGCTTCCACAGGCACGAAGACTTCCTTCTCCTTCCTTGAGACTTCTGCTACCAGGTTCCGGTGGTTCGGGTCATCAATTTCCAAGTTTACTGAAGGTGTGCTCCCTTGCACTACCAGTTTCCCCAGCATTGAGCCACTTTCGCGGATCACTTTGGTGATGGCGCGAGTATCCACTCCATAGATACCCGGGATGCCCTGAGAGGACAGCCACTCACCGAGACTGCGGATGCAGCTGTAGTGCGATGGTTCATAGGAATAGTCGGAAATGACCACGCCCTTCAAATGGATCCTGAACCGTGTACATGCATCGTATTTCGACACTTCAAACCTACAAATGCTCAATTAGCGCCCATTCCAAATCTGTGTATGTGCATCCATGTGTGTACACATACACATACAGCATGAAAGAAACAAGGTGGGCCAGAGAACCCAAAAGCAAGACGGCACACAGCACGCCTTTTCTTGAAAATCTTGGGGTGTGGCCAGCTGTGCTCTGCACGAAATCGACGTAAGATCTTTACTTAAACATCGTGCGCACTGATGGTATCAGGGGCCACGATTCACCACAGCATGCTGTGTCAGCTACGCCTACAGTCTTCTAGTCGCTATTTCTGTTAATGTAATTAACTCTATCCCATCTGTCTAGTCGCTATCTATTTCTGCGTTCTCGTTTAGTTTGCTTCGCCGCAGAGGGAGCGAGCACGAAGCGTGGACGGACAGAACGAAATGAAAATTAAACGACAGAGGGAGCTGACCAAAAGAGCATGAAAACGAAGATATATATGAAGGTGACAGATGGCAAATGATCATGAAAAATGAGACATGATAAAAGATGGGTAAAGACTTCTCTGTACAAAAGCTTCTTTGCATAAAAGCTTCTGCAAGTAAAAGCTTCTGTGGGCAAGAACTTCTCTGTGTAAAGGTTTTTGGTGTAAAAGCTCTTGTGTGTAAAATCTTCTGTGTAAAACGCGCTCTGTGTGTAAAAGTTTCTGTTTGCGAAAGTTTCTTTGCGTACCAGCTTCTGTCTGTAAAAGCTCCTCTGTGTTAAGGTTTTGTTTGTGTAAAGCTTCTGTGTGCAAAAGCTTCTCTGTGTAAAAGACTTCTCTGTGTCAAAGCCTCTGAGTGTACAAGCTTCTCTGTGTAAAAGTTCCTCTGTGTAAAAGCTCCTCTGTGAAAAAGCCGCTCTGTGTAAAAGGCTTCTGTGTGTAAAAGCCTCTGTGTGTGCAAGCTTCTCTGTGTCAAGACTTCTTTGTGTAAAGATTTCTCTGTGTAAAAACTACTCTGTGTAAACGCTTCCGTGTAAACTCTTTCCTGTGTAAACGCCTCCGTGTGTAAAGACTTCTCTGTGTAAACCCGTCTGTGTGTAAAAGCTCCTTTGTTTAAAGGTTTTTTTGTGTTAAAAGCTTCTGTGTGTAAAACCTTCTGTGTGTAAAAGTTTCTGTGTGTAAAAGCTTCTGTGTGTAAAGGTTTCTGTGTGTAAAAGCTTCTGTGTATTAAAAAAACCTTATGTAAAAGCTTCTGTGTAAAAAAGCCCCCTGTGTGTACAAGCTTCGCTGCGTAAAAGCTGCTCTGTGTAAAAAATCTGTGCGCCGTAAAGTTGTCTGTTTGTAAAACCTCCTGTGTGTGTGTGAAAGCGTCTGTGTGTACAAGATTCTGTGTGCAAAAGCTCCTCTGTGCAAAGACTTCTCTGTGTACAAAGCTTCTGTGTGTGAAAGTTTCTGTGTGTAAAAGCTTTCCTGTGTAAAAGTTTTCTTGTGCAAAAGCTCCTGTGTGAAAAACTTCTCTGTGTAAAGGCTTTTTTGTGTAAAAGCTTCTGTGTGTACAAGCTGCTCTGTGTTAAAGTTTCTGTGCGCCGAAAGAACGTCTATCTGTAACACCTTCTGCGTGTAAATCTCGTTTGTGTAAGGACTTCTCTCGTAAAAGCTCCTCTGTGTCAAGACTTCTTTGTGCGAAAGGCTTCTCTCTGTAAAAGCCTTTGTGTGTACAGGCTTCTCTGTCTCAAGACTTCTCTGTGTAAAGACTTCTGTGTGTCAAAGCTACTCTGTGCAAAAAAGCTTCTGTGCGTAAAGGCTTCTGTGTCAAGACTCCTCTGTGTCTCTGTAAACGCGTCTGTGTGTCAAAGTTTCTGTGTAAAGGCTTTTTTTGTGTAAAAGCTTCTCTGTGCATGTCCCATTTTTCAGCCTTTGCAAACCGTTTGACCGGTCTTGGGACCATTTGACCAGTCTTGGGTCCACAATTTTTTCAGGCCAATCGCAATGATGGCATTTGTCCTGAAAAAACCCGTGCCAACAGCTCTGCCGCAAACTATTTTCAAGGTTTCCTATCCGTCCAGCATGTTGTCTCGCTCCCTCCAGCGAAGCTCTCCGCAAGCTATTTCCACGGTTTTGTCCCGTCCAGCATGCTGTCTCGCTCCCTCCCAGCAAGGCTCTCCGCAAGCTATTTCCACGGTTTCCTCTCCGTCCAGCACGCTCGTTCCCTTCCAGCGAAGCTCCCCGCAAGCTATTTGCACAGTTTCCTCTCCGTCCAGCATGCTGTCTCATCCTCTCGCGCTTCCTCCCAGCAAAGCTCTCCGCAAGCTATTTCCACAGTTTTCGTCTCCGTGCAGCATGCTGTCTTGCTCCCTCCCAGCGAAGTTTCCTCAAGCTATTTCCACGCCATCATCCCGTCCAGCATGCTGTCTCGCTCCCTTCAAGCGCAACTTTCCGCAAGCTATTTGCACGCTTTCTTCTCCGTCCAGCATGCTGTCTCGCTCCCTCCCACCGAAGTTTCCCCAAACTATTTCCACGGTTTTGTCCCGTCCAGCATGCTGTCGCGCTTCCTCCCAGCACAGCTTTCCGTCCAGCATGCTGTCTCGCTCCCATCCAGCGCAGTTTCTTCAAGCTATTTTCCACGGTTTTGTCCCGTCCAGCATGCTGTCTCGCTCCCTCCCCGCGCAGTTTCCCGAAGCTATTTCCACGGTTTCCTATCCGTCAAGCATGTTATCTCGCTCCATCCCAGCGAAACTCTCCGCAAGCTATTTTCCACGATTTTGTCCCGTCCAGCATGCTGTCTCGCTCCCTCCCAGCGAAGTTTCCCCAAGCTATTTCCACGGCTTCATCCCGTCCAGCATCCAGTCTCGCTCCTTCCCAGCGAAGTTTCCCCAAGCTATTTCCACGGCTTCATCCCGTCGAGCATCCGGTCTCGCTCCCTCCCAGCGCAGTTTTCCCAAGCTATTTCCTTGGCTTCATCCCGTCGAGCATCCGGTCTCGCTCCCTCCCAGCGCAGTTTCCCAAGCTATTTCCACGGCTTCATCCCGTCGAGCATCCGGTCTCGCTCCCTCCCAGCGAAGTTTCCCCAAGCTATTTCCACGGCTTCATCCCGTCGAGCATCCGGTCTCGCGCCCTCCCAGCGAAGTTTCCCCAAGCTATTTCCCCAAGCTATTTCCACGGCTTCATCCCGTCGAGCATCCGGTCTCGCTCCCTCCCAGCGAAGTTTCCCCAAGCTATTTCCACGGCTTCATCCCGTCGAGCATCCGGCCTCGCTCCCTCCCAGCGCAGTTTCCCCAAGCTATTTCCACGGCTTCATCCCGTCGAGCATCCGGTCTCGCTCCCTCCCAGCGAAGTTTCCCCAAGCTATTTCCCCAAGCTATTTCCACGGCTTCATCCCGTCCAGCATCCGGTCTCGCTCCCTCCCAGCGAAGTTTTCCCCAAGCTATTCCACGGCTTCATCCCGTCCAGCATCCGGTCCCGCTCCCTCCCAGCG